GATGCTCTCATTTGGTCATTGTCAACTTCTAATGGCAGGCCACTGCACTCATCTTCAAGGCTCTCATCTCCCCTGCAAAACTTCTTTATTACCACTGCACTGTACATTTGTTATCAGTTCCTGAGCCTAATGGGTTGTTGATTTTGCAAGTTGTCTCCACTGCCTTAGAACCCAATTTGAACTTAAATAAGAAAATCACCCAAATTTTCTTTTTGTCTAACATCACTTCCCTGGTCTAAAATAAATATAAAATAAACAGCAAGTAATAAGTCATTAGCAAAAAAAAAAAAAACATAAAGCAAGAAATGTGCATTAAAATGATGTAGGCATGTGTGTGTGCTAAGTCACACACGGTCATGTCCAACTCTTTGTGACACTATGGACTGTAACCCGCCAGGCTCCTCTGTCCATCGGATTATCTAGGCAAGAATACTGGAGTGCCAGTATTGGCACTGAAGTGCCATTTCCTTCTCCAAGGGATCTTCCCAACAGGGATCGAACCCACATCTCTTAAGTCTTCTGCACCGGCAGGCAGGTTTTTTACCACTAGAGCTACAAGTGAAACACCAAAGTTCAACAAACTGCAGTTACTTTCGCACCAACCTAAATAATTTGTCTGAGCTTTGCTAAATACTTTGAATGGCTTCCCAACCTCCACCTGACCTGAGCCACCCAGTTCATGGTCTTATCCTTCACCCTGAAGTTACCAACAACCATGCCCCCTCCACAATCTCAACCTCTCTGACTCCCATGCCCCACCCTTCCAGCTTACTCCCAAGAGCATCCCCCCACGCCCTCACCCCCACCAACAATCCCTTGACCCTCACCTTATGCTTCCAATGCATTGATCCCACCACCTTTTCACTGCTCTCTTTATCAGCTTACAGTCTGATCCGTCTTCATAATCTACTGCCTTTCCCCCTCCCCTTCTTGCATTCATCTCACACACCCTCATCCTGGTTAAAGGCGACCCTCCAGCTGGACTGCCCCCATACCAAGTGGAGAAAATTTTCACTTCCTTCCTCCCTTTCCTCACTCTCAGTTGACAATTCTGTTTCCCATTTCATTCAGAAAATAGAAGCAACCAGAAGAGAAGTGTCACAAGCTTCCACCATGCCCACCCGTCCCCTGCATCCGCATCCACACTGCCCCCTCCCCACAGTGCCGTGGATGCACCATCATCCACGTGAGGCCAGCCTTGCACATGTGTCACAGGCCTCCTCCCCCTCACAGTGCTCCTGTATTGTCCCACCCCTCCCCAGGTTATCAAGTGTTCCCTCTCTGCTAGAGCATTCCCACCGGCATCACTCATGCCTTAACACCTCCCCTGACCACAGAGCAGCCAGAGTAGCAGTAGATCCCACACTAGCACAGTGCGGGAGGGCACAGAGAAGTTGAGGGAGGGACAACAAAGGATACGGTGGGCGCACAGGAGGCTAGACCAGCATGTGCAAAGGCCCCATGGTAGGAGTGAGCGTGGCGGGAAGGACAGCTGAGACTGCACGTGTGCTGAGACGGAGGTGAGACCAGACAGGGGCCAGGCCCTGTTAAAGATGCTGAGATTTTCTCTAAGAACATCGAGAAGCTGTTGAGCACTTCAAACTGAAGGTGGCTTGAACAGATTTGCATTTTCAAAGCCTCACTATGATTATTCTGCAAAGATGGATAAGAGTGAGTACAAAATGGCCAGTGGGGAGGCTACCACAGTCAATCTAGGGAAGCAAGAAGGGTGGCCTGGCCGTGGGTATTGCTCTTGTTGAGAAAAAAAAAATCAATGGATTTGAAAGATTCTGAGAGCCAATACAGACAGGATGTCGTGATGGATGGAGCCTGCAGGGAAGAGGCAGCAATGTTGGCAATGATGGCTGGGCTCAGGCTTGCATGAGGCAGCAACAGAGAGGCCTTGGCTGACCTAGTTGTTACATCCAGAAGACTAGGCTTGAGGGATAGATCATGAGTTCTGGTTTGGACCTGCTGAGTGTACGATGCTTTTAAAACATCCACCAAGAGACATCAAATAGGCAGTTGGATCCCCAGGTCTGGACCTCACAGGAGAGGTCTGGGCTGCTGATTCTTTGACACAGCCTCTCTACAAGCATCTCTGGAGCCCTTCTCCTGTGCAGGGCACTGTGCTGGGACCCAGTGGTCCAAAGATGATGGAGGCAGGGGCTGGGGCCAGGCTGCGTGGGGAGCAGCTGCACTAGTGGTCCACAAGCCTGAAGGGTGGGGCCTTTAGAAGACAGATGTGGAGGCACCACCTGTGGTTGGGGGTTGAGCACAGTCCCCAGTTTGTCAGGAGCCGTGGGGCACTTCAGTACCATTCTCAGCACCTCACCTCCTGCACAGATTCCTTGTAAAGATGCCTGGCACCAAGTTGGTGCTGACGAAATATTTGTCAGACTGAATTGAGAGAAAAGCAAAGTACTTTGCAAAGTGGTTTTCAAATACACTGATTTGTAATTTTACCAATGTGGAGGTAAATGTTAGCCTCTTAGAAGCAGGAATGAAGACTCTTCTCAGGAGAAAAGAGTCTGTGACTGGATGGGGGATAAGCCAGGAGAGGGAGGGGAAGCCTCTGGTTAATGCACCAAGATGCTGAGAGCAGGGCAGGCACGTGTTCAGGACCACAGAGGAGGGACAGACAGCAAGGTATGGGATGGGAAGGGTACTGAGCAAGACAAGACATGGTCCAGCACACAGAGAAAAGACACCTGCCCCACTGGGAGCATTCTGAGCGAAACTCTGTCTGCCTGGAGTCCCCATGTGCTCTGAGGAATGGCTCTTCTCCCAGAAGTTGGGAAAGGAAGCGAATTTGGCAGTGATACAGTTAAGGGGAGGTGGGGGTTGTAGGGTAAAGATCAACCATCTTCTCTGTTATATGTAGTACAGAACTACCTATGTGTGCATGCTAAGTTGCATCAGTCATGTCTGACTCTGTGATCCTATGGACTGTAGCCTACCACGCTCCTCTCTCCATGGGATGCTCTAGGCAAGAATGTTGGAGTGGGTTGTCATGCCCTCCTCTAGGGGATCTTCCTGACCCAGGGATCGAACCCATGTCTCCTTTGTCTCCTGCCTTAGCAGGCGGGTTCTTTACTGCTAGCGCCACCTAGGATCCCCAGTGTTACCTATACATATTATAATAACTAGAAACACAGCTATGTTGTAAGCGTACCTGTACCGCCCACAATGTGGGAGACCTGGGTTCGATTCCTGGGTTGGGAAAACCCCCTGGGGGAGGCATGGCAATCCACTCCAGTGTTCTTGCCTGGAAAATCCCTGTGGACAGAGGGGCCTGGTGGACTGCAGTCCATGGGGTTGCAAAGAGTCAGACACAACTGAGTAACTGAGCACATCCTGTATATCCAGCTGTATGATATATACAGCTGTGTATATGTGTAATAATGACTTAATATTCTTAATACCTATAGTACATAATAAAACCTACTCTATGGGCTACAAGGCTCAGGATCCTACAAGAAAAGAAATTGTTCACACAAACTGAGGACTGTATTAATTAGGCGGCATTGGCGTCTATCACAGGAAAATCCTGAATGTCAGGGGCTAAATGTAGTCAAGGTTCATTTCTCTCTCACTCAATACCCCCAGCACATTTACTAATGTGCCAGGCACTGCTCTGAGCACTTTAAACGTGTTAGCTCATGTTATCCCCACAGCAATCGACAAAGGAAGAATCTCTACGATCTCTGCTTTCTGATGAGGAAGCTTTCTGATAAGAAGCTGAGGCACTTCCGTGAAGCTGTATGAAACCCAGGCAGGCCAGCTGCAGGACCTGCCTCTCACCCAGTGCTGCCATATCTCCCTGCATAGTTTCGAGTGTCCAGTCATTCAGAGAAAGTCATCCATCCATCCATGTTGAAAGGCAACATCCATCGTGCCTGTGCTGGAGCTCAGGACACAATGGTGAATGAAACAGACAAAAGTCTCTGCTGTCATGAAGCAGCCACACTTGTAAATTCTGTTCTCCACATGAATGTTTATGAAGATCGCATTCAGTAGTTTACTCATTCATTCAGGGATCACTGCTGGGGATCTGCTGGACACTGGGCTAGGGGTTCCCATCTGAGCTGGCTCTCACCTTCTCAGCAATCACCAAGGAAAGTTTTAGAACTAAAAGGTCTTTGTTTGAGCCCAGATTCCATCATTTCCTGGCCATGAGCACTTATTCAGTCATTTGAATTGGCACAGAGACAGATAAGGGAGGGTTGTAGGGTAAGGATCAACCATCTTCTCTGTAATATGTAGTATAGGATTAGCTATACAATAGCTAGAAATACCTAAAATAGTTATGTAAGCACACTTGTATCCAGTCTCCCTGAGCTTCAGTTTCTTCATTTATAAAATGGAGATGCTATTATTCCTCCCACAGGTTGAGTCATAGTCCACAAGTCTGGCCAGTGACCCAGGCCTGGGTGGGGTGTTCAACCCTAGGAGTATTGCAGAACTTTCGTGGGCTCCATATAGTGAATTCAATGCAATTGCAGATGGGAAAATGCTTTGCAAACTCATCTAACGGGCTGTGGGAATGTTTGTCAGACTCTGTCTAGGGTCTGCCCTCTTTGGAAAGCGATCAACTTTCTCGCATGTAAAACACGAGGTGACTCCCAGCTGAGCTGGGGCACAGAGGCAGGCATGCTGGTATTCACCAGTCTCCTCCGTGGCAGTCCCCAGCCCAGATTCAAACCTGCACCGCCCGCCAAGCCTCAGCTAATCCTCAGAAGCCTCGATGCAGAGATGGAAGGCTGGGTTTTGAAGTCTTAAGCCTTAGATCCTCTCTGCAGCACCGCGGGTGTGTGTGTTTTGATTCACTGGGCAGATGTCCAAACAGACAAAGCGATACCTTCCTTGCAGGGGAGGGGGGAGGTGAGGGAGAGGACTGAGCCAGCTTCAGAAGAAGGGGAAGTCAGGAAGAGGCCAGTGGGCGCTGAGTCCCTGGAGATTTGGATGTCTTATGAGCACTTTCTTTCCTTGTTTTCCAGGGAACTTCAAAGGTCTCTGCAAGCAAATCGATCACTTCCCAGAGGATGCAGATTACGAAGCTGACACAGCAGAATATTTCCTCCGTGAGTGGATGCAATTTTTTTTATCTCTCTCCTGGTGATGGGTCCTGCCCTTCCATCCTTTAAGAGCCAAAGGCCAGAACTATCTAGAGGTCTCTGTCACTGCAGAGGGGAGAAAAAAGCTGAGCCTTCTGTCTTCCCCCATTTCCATGGCCAAACCTTCATGTGTGCTATTTCCCTCTACCTGCAACGCCCTTCCTCCCCTCTTTGTTGGCAAGTTCCTACACATTTTCCAGGTTTCCGGTGAAACAACACCTCCTCCAAGAAGTCCTCTATGCCCCTGAAGGGGGTCCCAGAGCCTAGCATCTTTATCACGCTGTTGGGTCCGTGTCTGTTTGAGCAACCAGCTCCCTCACAGTGTTGCCAATTCCACTAGAACTCTGATAGAACTCTACCTATCTCATTCATCGTTATATTCCATGCCCAGTGCCCGGCACATAGAAAGTACTCCGTACATATTTCTTGAACAATCCAATGAGGAGACTCACCAGGCAGTGCAAGTCTGGAACTTCTACTGAAACAATGAGATTACTTTTTTCTTCCCCCACAGTCAAGTCAAAGTTAAATCCTGATGTAATAGCTGTGATCTTAAATCCACCTGAGACATAGTATCAAGAGAAAGCATTTTGAGACCCAAAGAAAATCTCTCAAGAAGCAGCAAAAACTAACAAGGTAAAATGTTCCGGGAGAAAAGGATTTCCAGGAGAGGCTGAGGGTCCTTAAAGCATGGGACCGCAAAGCTGCCCCAGCAGAAGTGGCTGAAAGCTCTGTACGAAGCTCTTCCGAAAGCAGTTTGCTCTCCTCCCAGGAGCACCCCTCCCCGCCCTCTTCTGCTCCCAAGTGCCCTTCCCCAGCCAAAGCCTCCCTCCCATCCCCCACAGCAGTGGTTAGTATTGGATCATTTCTATGAAAAATGTAGGAAGCATTTTATTATATGGATCACCCCTGTCACTTTCAATAATTACTCCTCGCGTCAAACCCAACTCTCAGGTCAGTCTGAAATCTGGGTTTCATTTCAAAGCCCGTGGAACATGAAGCCAGCCAGGCAGACAGAAAAAGGAAGGGGACATCAGGTCACTCGTAGGTTTCTTTTTAAAGGAGAAGGGGGGTATCTGACAAGGCTCGTCCTTTCCCTTTATGAACTCCTGCACGACGCTGCTCTCAGATGGAATTCCTAAAGGAGCGTTTGTTCGTCCTCTGCATTACAAGGTCTGAAAGTGGAAGTGTCAGTTGCTCAGTCTTGTCCGACTCTTTGCGACCCCATCAACCACTCCATCAGCCATAGCCCACCAGGCTCCTGTATCCATGGGATTCTCCAGGCAAGAATACTGGAATGGGTTGCCATGCCCTCCTCCAGGGGATCTTCCCAACCCGGGGATTGAATCCGGGTCTCTCTCATTGCAGGCAGATTTTTAACCATCTGAGCCACCAGGGAAGCCCCTATTACAAGGTCTAAGGCTCTCAAAGGAGTCTGGCGAGGGCATAAAAACAAATTGAGCACCTTCTGTATGTCGGAGTCTGGACTGAGTGCTGGAGAGTTCCAGAGGAATGAATGAGACACCGTCCATGGTTGCAGGCAGAGCGCAGCCTGGTGGGAGGACCCTCAGAGAAACAACAAGACTTGGGAGGCAGGGGCCTGCAGAGATGCACCTGAGAGAGAAGATGGAAGGGGGAGCCACGTGGGGCTCTGTGCACAAAGCCACACTGGCTGAGCCCAGCGAGGGGCAATGCTTTCTCAGCTGGATGCCCAGGACCCTTTTCTCGTTCATTGCTCTACCAAGAACAGTTCCTGGAAAACAGAAGGTGCCCAATAAATGCTATTTTTAAAGGAAAGACAGGATTCTTCAGCAGCTATTCCTACCTACTCTATACCTTCATTTCCCGAATTTTAAAGAAAGAAGTGTTTAGTGTTTGGTTCATTTTGGTGTTTCTGGGCAGAAGACTTGAATGCAAATTAGCAGCGCAGGTTTCTGAGAGTCTGACTTGAGTTGACTTAATCCAGCAATATTTTTTGAGCATCTGTAACAGAAATTGGCAAACCTTTTCTGAAAAGAGATATTCCCGGCTTTGTGGTCCATAAAGTCTGTCCCAACTACTCAGCCTTGACCTTGTAGCACTAAAACAAACAGGGAAGCACCTGAGCATGGCTGTGTTTGCTCCAGTGAAACTTAAGTTCACTTGCAAAACTAAGCAACAGACCTCATCCGGCAGTTTGTTGACCTCTGATCTGTAATATGCTAGTCTGGGGTTAGAAAGCAAACGTCATTTTTTAAAGCTGGAAGATGTGAGTTCCCATCATTCTCTGTCAACCTCTAACCCGATTGGCTAGAAAAACTAGAAGACAGAGGTCATTCTTCTAGGAAGATGGCCTGCCCTAGTGTGGTGGGCGGAGCTGGTGCCCAGGAAGGTGGGCGGAGCTTCTCCTGAAGATGGGCCTTTGGTCCAGGGAGATGGGCGGGGCTGCACTCGGGTGGGTGGGGTCTGAGTCAACTTACCCCGCCCCGCCCCGTCCTGTTCTGGTCTGTTAAACCTTCAGCTCACCTGCCACATGGGTTGACAGGCCCAAGAACCTAACCTAGATGCCTCAAGCAGGGAAAGAAGGTGATCGGGGGTGCTGAGGAAGCCTGGTGCCTAACCCAGACTGGAGGCCATCATTCCAGAAGTGTTCCCTAGAGAAGATGGCACCAATGCAGAGACTTGGACTCTAGAAGGGTTCATCCATTCATTCATTCATTCGCTCAGGAGATACTCACTATCACTATGAATAGGGCACTGTTGATGGTATGGGGACTCAAGGGTGGACAAAATAAAGAAAGCGACTTCATGAAAGTTACACCCTGATGGAGGAAACAAGCAAAAAGCCAGGAGCTTGTTACGATCAATCATCCAGACAAGAGATGACAGCAGCTTGAAGGCAGGTGGTGGCAGTGAAGGAGGTGGGAAGGGGTCAGAGCCTGAAAATATTCCCAAGGGTCTGCATATAGGATCTTCTGAAAGGTTGCATGTGGATTTCCAGGGACAGGGAGGGATAAAGGATGACTCCAAGGTTTGTGCCCATGGGGGGAGCAGGTTGGGATGGGGAAGGATGGATGCTCAGTATCGGCCACTAAGTTAAAGAGGCCCACAGACTCCCTGGGGAGATGACCTGGAGTCTGAGACTCACAAGGTGGGGCCTGGCCTGAGACAGGAGTCTGAGAGAGGTCAGAATGGGGACAATATTTAGCACGATGAGACTGATGACAGCACCAAGAGAGTGGTGCAGAGAGAGAAGAGGTGCAGGATCTGAGCCCCAGGACCCCAAGGCTCGAAGGCCAGGCAGAGAAGGAGCCCCAGGGAAGGAGCTGAGGACGGGTGGCCAGTGAGGTGGCCTGGGTAACTCCTGCCATCCTTGATCCACCAGTTGGATGGAGGATCTGGAGCAGAGAGGGAGGAGAAGGATGCCAGGAGAGCATGACTGGCCAGGGGCACAGAGCTCATCTCCTGGGCTGGCAGAGAAAGTGGGACTCACTTTGATTTGCTCTCAAGCCAGAAAACCAAGCTTCAGGCAAGTTCAACACCTCTTGGAGGACGGGGCAGAAGGAAAGCACCAAATTAATATCTGATGGGACAAATGAATGAGTGAATGAATGAATGCTCTTAATGCCCCGTCTCCATGGGTATCCAAAGGGGTCCCCAGCTTCTCCACAGCCACAGAGTCCAAGGAGGGACAGCCTTAGCTGGTCCCAGTCATCACCCCGAGTCATTGAACTTCTGAGCCCCACGAAGGTGCAGCTAATACAGGCCTTGCCCACCTATCACTAACTTACCCACAAAGTCATGGTGACCAGTCTGTTTTTTCCAAGCAGCTCCATGGGGCTGTCAGCTGGGTCTGCTGTGTGGCACCTCTCTTCTTCTTTTTTAAAAACATATATATTTTTTTTATTAAAGTCTAGTTGACTAACAATGTTTCAGGTGCACAACAAAGTGATTCAGTTATACATATATTATTTTTGAAATTATTTTCCATTATAGGTTATTACAAGATATTGACTATAGTCCCCTGTACTATACAGTAAACCTTCTTTGTTTGTTGCATATCTATTTTTTAATTAGAAATATAGCATTCTATTCAGACATAAGTCAAACAAGTGGAATCAAAATGTCATAAATTTTTTAGTTAGGCAAAAATTCATAAGTTTTCTAAAATATAAGTATTATATTTATATATATGAATACAAAAGTTTTTCTACTATGCTTGATAAAGGCTTAAGAAAGGACATCCAAAGAAAAAGAGATGGAGAAATTGGAAAACACAAACCAAATGAAATGGAAGCACTGAATATGAAATAGAAAAAGTGAAACACACTAGATAAAAGTAAAAGACCATCATACAGTCCAGTTGTCCTTAAAATATTAGCTCTCTCTCTTCTTGCCAAGGCTCCTTACCTCAAGCTGGTAAAGAAGAGGTGGTGGTGACCAGGGTGTGACTTCCTATGACTCTTAGTGTGTGTTGGTGTGTGTGCATGTCCGCCTTGTGCCAAGGGCATGAGTGTGTGCTGTGTGCTGTGTCTTCTGATGCCTGCATATCTGTGCATCTGAGTGTCTGTCAGTCAGAATATAAGTGCCTGTGTGTATGCGTGTGTCTGCTCGTGTGCACATGGGTCTCTTCATGGTGTGTGTGTGTTGTGTGTGTGTGCGTGTGAATGTGTGTGTTGTGTGTGTGTGTGAGTGTGTGCGTGTGTGTGTGTATGCGCGCGTGCGTTGTATACAAGAGATGGGAGGTGGCCACACAAGGAGGCTGAGGGTGTGAGCAGTGGATGGGAATCCATAGCACTTGGGGGCCTCTGAGATGAGACCACGAGAAGGTTCTGAGCAGAAAGGACTGAGGTCCAGGCTAACTAACGGCACTGCTCTGCTTCTCCTGGAGAGCTGACTCCGGGGTCTCAGCAGGAACAGGGAGACCAATAAGAGATGACAGCCGGGACCGAGGCTGGAAACACATGGGGCTTGGATCAGGGAGGAGG